GTAGTGAGTTTGCGCTTTTTGGTGCCGTTTGAGGTGATTTCGGACATTTTGTCGCCTGCTCTGGAGAGTGTGTATGGATCAAAGTTGAGTTGAAGCATCAAAACATGAAATGGAGTTAGAGTTAGTTGACCAAGGTAGTTTGTGAGCAAAGTATGTAAGCAGTCAAGAAACATTCGATGATGAACATGTAGTAGTATACTACCACTCACGTTGAGGTAGCGAAGAGTTCAATGGCAAACTGAACAAAAAGGTAACCATCCCGTCCTCGAGCCTTCCCTTCCCCATCCCATCAGCGGGGTTCTAAAAGCTTCAGCACAGACCACCTCCACATCGCGTTCGCGTTCTCCAATCCTCCTCCCATCTCACTCACAATCTCAATTCAATATATCCTCAAAATGTATTCTTCTCTCATTCACCTCTCTCCTCACTAATATATGAAATGCCCATCTGTATCGAGTGTCGCTATCCGACTACCCAACTCTATACCGAGTATTCCGGAGGATCGACTGGTCATGGAGTACGATTAACCGTTTGTAAGAATTGTGGACGATTTTGCGATAAATATGTTGAGCATGATTTTGTGGTTTTGTTTATTGATTTGGTTTTGATTAAGCCCCAGGTTTGTTACTCTTGTCTTAACCTTATGATATTTACACACACGCAAACACACACACATATACATATCTTTGAGCGAGGGGAAAGCTAATAGTTTTGGGGACGGAAAGGTTTATAGACATTTGTTGCATAATACTTTAATGAGAGAACATGATCAATTTGACGTATGATATTTCCTTTCCCTGATGCAAATCTTATATTGACATCTATCTTCTAAGCCTTCAATAATCCGTCTCGGTGTCCTTCTCCTCCTCTTCGATGTCTACCTAACATGGGCACGTATCGAAAAGCAAACTTCCGCGCCCATTTCCGCTCCAATCGAAACAGATAATACGAATTTCCTCCGTCTAGCCGCTCAACCCATTGTATTCCAATACGTATTCTTTCTAATCCTCTGCGCCCTCTCAACCCTAAGCTTTCACCTCTCTATCCGCTTTCTCACATCCTCACCACTTTCGCCTCTGGTATTCCTCGGCCTCCTCCCAAAATATACACGTCCGAATTCCGTATCTACAGCGCTACTAGTCTCGTCTTCTACGAAACTATTCCCTATTTTGATGGTAATATGGGAGTATGACGTACCGGCTGCAGCGAGAAGTTTAGGATGGGCTGTTGTTGCGAATAATGTGGAGGCTTTGAAAATATTACTGGATTGCGGGTATGGGACTGCAGCGATATTGGCGACAGTTGGAGCGATTAGTAGGTGGATGGTTGGGAGGGGAATACTCTGGGCGGTCGGCTTGGATGGGGTTGACACCGTTGGGGATTCAGGGGTCGCGGCGGATGGAAAGGCGCTTTGGGCGGTAGTGGAATTGGGTAGAGAATGGGGTGGAAGGTTGGGCTTGGGGTGATTGAGGAGAGTGAAGAGTGGACGGAGATTCATGAGAAAATGAATATAAATGCTATATATCCCAAACATCATAGATGATTGATATTTAAGGGGCTGACAGTAGACATTCAGGGGAAATGGTGCACTATTGCACAGCACGATGGTATGCTCACAGATTTACATTTGCCAAGTTGAACTAAGCATCTGCAATTCCAACTTCACTGCAAAGATACAGATTCCCGCAAGGTATGCCTATACTTCGAGGACCATATTACGACCCGGCGTTCGAGCGCAGCGAGGAATCCGGGATCTTGGGGGTTTGACCGCATCGGAAACAATCAAAGAAGAGAAACAAGTATCGCTCCGCTGGAGGCATGAAGGCCATTGCGGTGGAGGCGGACTAAGGAGAAGCTCAATTCAGTGCCTGGTATATCAAAGTTTCCATTTCCACAATCAATTCCTATAAGTATACACGAGTCGCATTTCATTCCTCCATTAGAGTCGATCCCATCCCATGAACGCCAAATAATACATCTCATTCTTCTTCATTCTCTTTCGCCATCATGCATGCTCAACTGTAATAACCACTCAACTCATATGTCTTGCATACTCCGGTCTTAAGTCTCCTCTTCTGGGTACGATGAGTGGATGCCATTGCGCTAAGAACGTAATCGCTGTTGTCAATGTCAGTATAGTTCTTAGGCTCATTCCTTCCATTCCTTTCTCCGTGTAATTTGAATCGATGCGATGGGAATACGTACCCCACATAAGATAACAACTTGCGAAAGAGAGGATGAGAGAACTGCGCCAGATTCTGTATACCAACAAATTAGCCACCGATATTTCAAAAAAGTTGCTCAAATCCATCTATCCATTCATCCGCACATAGTTGAATACACTCTATCGGGGCGTGATAGATACATACGTTTGATTTTCGCCTTTAGGAGAAAGGAACCATGCTGCCGCAGAAGCAAGCACAACAATAATGAGGCCAATGACGATACTCCAACTATTCAATCCATCTTGTTAGCTATGACACTAATCTCGCAGTTCCAGAATATGATTGCACGAGTGGACAATGAGCCATACCCGTTTGCCATGTTGATTTTGTGATAATGAAGTCGTGAGGTCTGGATTCAGAGAGTTCGGAGTTGCTTAAGGCGGTTGTTTTATTCGAGGTTGGTGATTAAATGATGGAGCTTGGTTCAAGGTTTCCAGGTACTACTCGCGCTAATGGTTTGGCTTGGCGCGTCAGCTCTTTCTTTTTCGTTAGACATAAATAAATTATGCGATCAGATCTGATTATTGTTGATCTAACGATTTTCAGTCGAATGTTACATATAGACATTTTTTTTGGTTTTGATTTCGATATTCATGTGATTAATTACAATATCAATTCAAATCTCGCATTTCCTAATTCTCAAATTTCAAGCCTGCCTCTTGTCTAACAGCTCCATAAATAGCAGCAATGTCACCAGCTTCTCCCTTGTGGTTCTTAACTCCCTCCAAATGAGCATCTGCGACCTCGAGAGCCTTCATTTGAGTACCGGCGCTCTTAGCCAATGCCATAGCATGTCTTGCATCTTTTCTAGCTAAATCGACAGCAAATAACGGGTCCTCCCTCTTGTGATAATCGCCTGACAACATTCTACCAGAGTATGCGGCATATGGACCTGGGAATAAAGCCTCGATGAATTGATGAAGATTCTCGACACCCAATCCAGATTTCTCTGCAAGAACATGTCCTTCGGAAAGAGTCTCAACCATATTGAAAACAAAGGTGTTTCCAATAACCTTCAAAAGCGAAGCTTTCCCAACTGGTTGTCCACCAAAATCAATAGTGGCTTTACCAATAACTCCCTTAGTATATGGCTTAACCTTCTCTACCGACTCTTTTGGACCAGCAAGTACGCAGATAAGCTGGCCACTTTCCGCCATAGCAGGAGCACCGAAAACAGGGCATGCAACAAAATCACCTCCAGCAGCACCAATCCTCTTGGCCAAATGTTCAGTGGTATCTGGATGAACAGTCGAACAATCTACGAAAAGTTTTCCAGCAGCGCCATTCTTGATTCCGGCATCGATTGTCTCGTTAATAGCAGCATCATCTCCTACACATGTGAAAATGATATCGGATTTTGAGACAAGATCGGTAATGGAAGAAGAGACCGTGGATTTGCCGGATGGGAGGGAAGAGCTGAGATCTTCTGCACGTTTGGTCGTGCGGTTGAAGATTATGAGGGGATTATCGAGGTTTCCTTTCTCGACGAGGTTCTTGCACATGCCCTGTGATATTTGTGTTAGCTATCGTCTATCTTCTTGAATGAAGTTGCGGGGTAGGTAGTTTTGGGGAACTGACTCTACCCATGTTTCCAAGACCAATCCATGCCAATTGAAGACCCATTTTGGATGAGTTTTGTGTGGTTCGAAAGATACGAGAATGTACAAAGTAAAATACGATAATGTGTAAATGATGAAGTGTGAAATTGTGAAATTATTCTCTCAATTGGGATTTGGAACGTCTTTCATGAGCATTTATGAAGATACATACCAAACCATTCGGTCCCGATATTGGATGTATGATTACATACTAGGTAGGTAGATTGTGATACTATATCGGAGTTACAACTATCACCTAGGTCGGAATGAAGCCGTTTGGTCCCACTGTTGACAAAGCAAAGGAAGACTTTTGGGATAAACGCCGACTTTGCTCGCTGATTGTAACCGGATACCAGTCCTTCAGTCCTTCATACTTGTTTTGATGGAAGAGCGGCGTATGCTTTTACCCGTTGCAATGTAAGTGTTAGTAGAGCATTGTACAAGAACAACCAAGTGCAATATGTACAACGTAATTCCGAGAAGAACATATACTTTCCATAAGTAGAAACCAAGACAAGATATTTGCAGTATCGGTAACTTAGGCACACTTGCAAATGACGCTCTGCTGGCTCTACGACGGTCACTGCCGTGGAGACAAACTATTTTAGACTACCGGCTACCAGTACCTAGGTATGCCTTTGCATGTCGCGTTAGATTTACTGCAGCATTCATTACGTAGGATGCAGTTTGAATATACTTTTTCCCCTGGAGCGAAGCGAAAGAGCCTTCACGGCAGTGGCCCAGCGCAGCGTCGCATGCCGGTAGAGAGTCGACTATTACTTTTACCTACTCGTAGGCAAGATCTTAAAATCATTCTACCCAGAAAAATTGTCTGGGTATCTCGAAATTAATGTATATCTACTAGGTACCAGTATTATCTCTTCAAAGAGAAACCATCATACAAGACTAGATATCTGATTCCAAGTATTTTTTGCACACCCTGTCTCGCCTGTACAGCCTTATGATTTAATTTCATCAGATAAGATCTTTTTTTTATATGACGCCAACTCGAAATGAGCCATAAAAGTTTACTTCGTAGTTCTATTAATAATGTTTTTTTCCATTTTCACACTTTCACGTGTGAGCTTCCTATCCCCGTTCGCGTTTATCGAAAAGCGTTATCGGATGAATGGTGTGGAGATATGAATCGACTTTCGCACAAGCACATAATTATCTATTACTTCATATAATGAAAATGCCTCTCCCTCTTTGTTATTATTCTCAACAATTTATCCTCACTTTGGAAAATTATGATTCCAATATTTTCCCTTTTACATTGCTTTCAAATGATTTCTTCTGAATAATTCAAATCAATATGCAATATGTTATTGCAAAATTTAGCCTTGAAAAAGGGCAAAGAAGCGGCTGGTCATAACGTGAGTCAAATGGTTATATCCATAGTGAGACATTTACTAACACTCTACAAAGATTCAATCATTGACAAAACATGGGAACTATTTTGTTCAAAGTAGTGATAGGAGACGTACATATACTTCCAATCAATCTGCAGCTAGTAAAGTGAGGGAAGAATTGGCCAAAGAAACTTGCGAAAAGCTTTCGAATCAACATCAAGCCAAGAAGAAGGCTAAAGCTATTGATAGAGTGGGATATATTCCATCGAACCATTCAATTGAAATACTTACAAATTTCAGGACTTCTTTCTATCGGTCCTTGGTTCTTCCGCAACTAAACGCGAAGCTCGCTCTTATATTCAAAACTTCAAACCTCTAAATACTTCTCCCGCAAAGCCGAAATCCCAAGGCCCTGTTCAACAAAACACAAATGAGAATGGAGTAAACCTGGGAAGCATTTATACAGCGACAAGGGCCGTGGCAGAAAGTCCAAAGTTTGTACAACAACCAGCAGTCTCACAAACCACATTGGGCGGCTCCATTTTACATGTTGCTTTAGTGAAAATTAGAGCTCCACAACTGCTAGATGACGAAACGTTGAATGGGATTGGGAAAACATTATCGAAACTGTGTAGACTTGGACTGGTCAGTACTGTTGTGGTGGATTGCGAGGATGGAAGCGATACCCACCTGAAGGTATCTAAAAGCGAATGGAGGGATCGGGTTAAAGAGCAAGCCGCTCGTGTTGTGACTGCCATTGATGCTAGTGGGACAGAAGCACGGCTAGTGGACAATGTGATAGGAATTGCAGAAAATGGATCTGATGTCGAGCAACAACCGTATCTGAAAGGCAGAGTGCATGTCACATTTAGGGAGTTATTGATGACGCCATTGAGACGAGGAGTACTCCCTGTGTTACCTTCAATAGGGCATACGGATGCTACTCAAACGGCAATATTAACAACCGCTAGTGATGTTGTCATGGCGTTGACCCGAGAATTTGCTGGAATCTTGCCTCCGCAATCACCGGATGAACATCCTAATGTTGTCAAAGAGCACTTACAAGCCTTACAAAATGAGGTATCACTTGATCGTCTAATTCTGATTGATCCTCTTGGGGGCATTCCAGCTTCGGACCGCAAAAACGGTTATCACGTATTTCTGAATATGGAACAAGAATATGAGCTGGCGAAGCAAGATCTCATAAAAACAGGAGGATTGTATAGCGAAACATCCAAGCTACCAACACGTGCAGAAGCAGGCTCGAATTCTAATGTCGGAGATGATATCCCCCTTTCCAGCTTTACCGAACAAAAATCTGGCGAGCTTAAAAATTCATCCCCGCAGCAAAGCGGTTCACCTACACAGCAAGATCAAAGAATGAAATTCCATTTGGATAATTTGGAACTAGTTCGAAGTGCTTTGGCCGTATTGCCTCCTAGCTCTTCTGCTTTGATAACTACGCCTGATGAAGCCGCGAATTCCGGAAAGCAACACGAATTCAAGGCCGCTGGGGTTGGTACACGACGACAACGAAATCCGTTGATTCACAACCTACTTACCGACAAGCCAGCATTCTCTTCATCCCTTCCTGTTGGAAGACTAGGCCCCATGGATAAGAACGAACCAATTACACTATCAACTAAAATGGCCCCAGCCACTTTTGCAAAACATGGAATGCCAGTAACCATTTTTCCCGATCCAAAAACTACCCCTTGGCAACCACCTGTCGCTGGCGTTCCACAGATAAGCTTAACTGATCCTCAAATTGATCTACCCCGCCTAGTACATTTGATCGAGGACTCTTTCAATAAGAAACTAGATGTTCAAGATTATTTAAGGCGTGTCAATAATCGTATAGCTGGAGTCATTATTGCAGGCGAATACGAAGGAGGAGCATTACTGACCTGGGAACTACCACCCGGTGTTCCAGACGATGGAAGTGAAGAAAGCCGTAAGCGAATGGTGCCATATCTTGACAAATTTGCCGTCTTAAAGAGAAGTCAGGGATCGGGCGGTGTTGCAGATGTGGTTTTTAAATCTATGGTGAGAGATTGTTTTCCTGGTGGTGTTTGTTGGAGAAGTCGTAAGGTAAGAAATATCATGAATCCGTGGTCTTAATTTTGTGCTTCGTATTGATGAGACGACAGGATAATCCAGTAAACAAATGGTATTTTGAACGCAGTAGAGCTACGTTGAAACTGGCTGATACGAATTGGACGATGTTCTTCACGACGCCGGAAGAAAACATGGATCAGCAAACATTCCAAGACTATGAAGCTGTTTGCAAGGTCATTGAACCTTCTTGGGCGGATAAACAGGGAGTTCAGGATTGAACTTTATACATAAGTGTTGGAGGTATAGATAGTGTGGAGCTTGATATACTTATGAGGTGCTTACGGACCAGACCAAGGTGTGTCTCGCAATCGCCAAAACACGATAAATCCCTTGGAAGCGGACAAGTTTCGGCAAAATGCTTGATACACTACATCATCCCAACCTAGATGGTAAGAGTAACTTTGATAAGTGTGATGTCGATCACAAAACGATCTTTACTTCAATATTCAAACATATAATTCAGGATTCTTGGACGTTGGGTGCCCCGAATGATGTTGGACCACCTTAGGCTGGTGAAGCGAGATGGCAATTCGTTGAGGGGTGAATCGGACGTTGGCGGATGTTGTCAGAGCGGGAAGTGATATACACAGGTAGCTGATTCGGACTAAGCTATCCGAAAAGTCCTTGTGGATCCATGTAGTTACACTTGAAGATACCCTCGAATATTAACTACCGGCAGCATTTACTTGGCTGATAAGATTGAATCTCGCTATGAGGGGTTTCACAGTAAATAAGGGTTTTCTTTGAATGCTAACGAACAATTTGATATAGCACCCAGTAAACAGAACTTCGGGTGAAATATGAATAGAACTGGTTATCGTGAAGGATTATTCCAAATTTGCCCCGTCAAGAGTTCGTTTCAATCTGAAACGAAACATTTCAGATTACACTCATACCCATTTCCCATTCCATTGTTATCAGTTCACCAGTTCTCACGTGAAGATTAATTTAGGCGAAACCTTTGGAAATCAAGCTGTCACTTCCCATGTGCAGTCGCAACATCAACCTTTACTGCCTCATAATTAAACAAAACCTACCAGGTATTCAATAATCCTAAGAACAAGAGCGCATATTCGATCACAATAAACATACATACAATACAATACAGTAAATGAACATGGATTTCTCCAAGTTCCAAGCCTTTGGCAAGAATGTCTCGTAAGTATCAAGTTCTTTACTCCCTTCCTTCCAGATATATGTCATTGTGGTTTATTTACACCGAAGCTAATCTAATACCTCAATCAATAGAGCTTCATTCACGCCCTTCGCAGCTCGAACCCAACAATATGTCAAAGAGAGATTGGGCCAATCTGATGATAAGGTGATTCGATTTAATCATGCGCTGTGAAGGGAAAGGAAGAAAATCGTGAATTAATACTAAATGTTATGTTATGATAGACACAACTCCCTCCCGATTATATTGAGTTGGAGAAAAGGGTCGATGCGTTGAAGAAGGTGCATCAGAAGATGCTATCTGTTACTTCGAATTTCTCCCATGAGGGCTATGATTACCCGCAAAATTTGTCGGAATCGGTAGGTTTTTTTCTATCTATACGTTCAACATACAATTCAAGAATAGCAAATGACGCTCCGCTGGCTCTCCGAGGCCCTCGCCGCGCGGGCTTACTATTCGGGGACAATGTTCGAGCTCAGCGACTTACCGGGAATGGGGGGCTTGTCCCCATGATGATAACATCATCAATCTTTTCTCAGACCTACTGATTATAATACATTTGCTAATCTATTGTTCACCAATAGTTCAACGACCTCGGCCGCACTGTTTCCGAAAAAGTCCAACTCCTCTCCTCTGCTACCTCCCCAGCCGAAGCTCAAGCTGCTCTTACAGCCCCTCCATCCGCAAAACCACAACCCAAAACCTTCAATCATGCTATTGCTCGCGCTGCCTTAGCATCTAGCCAAATTCTTCAACAACAAAATTCCTCTGGAAATGAAGATCCTTTAGCTACTGCCCTTGAGAAGTATGCTCTTGCAGAAGAACGTGTTGGAGAAGCAAGACTTGCACAAGATAGCCAAATCCAAAGTCGTTTCCTCGCAGGCTGGTCTACAACATTGAATACTAATTTGATGTTTGCGACTCGCGCTAGAAAAAGTGTGGAGAATTCGAGATTATTGCTTGATGCTGCAAAGGCGAAGGCTAAGAATCCAGGATGGCATTTACCTGGTCAAGCAGCTCCTCGACACGATGGTCATGAAGATGAGATTCAGAGTGAGGAAGCTAGAGTTGAGATTGAACAAGCAGAGGATGAATTTGTTGGACAAACTGAAGAAGCTGTTGGTGTCATGAAGAATGTAAGTGCTGTTTTTTGGGCGCATTTTATAGAGATCAAGCTAATACGTGAATCCAGGTCCTCGATACCCCTGAACCACTCCGAAACCTTGCTGATCTTATCGCCGCTCAACTCGAATACCATAAGAAGGCATACGAAATTCTTAGTGAACTCGCCCCTGTTGTTGATGGTCTTCAAGTTGAACAAGAAGTGAGACGTTCCGAGGCATTTTCCGCATAATCCTTTTCTTTCTTTTTTTCCACTCCTAGATTCCTTGAGGCATGTAGCAGTTATATTGTTAGAATATCACAGTTCAGTTAGCTGATGAAGTGTCTTCTACGCAGGCCAGCTATCGAAAGAGTCGTGATGGTGGAAGTGCTTAATCACCATCTAAAATAATTGATACCAAAATGATACTCAATTCGAAATCGAAGAATGAAGTGATAAGAAAATGGGAAATTTGAGATGTGATGCGACGCGACGCGTTAAGGATTTTTTTTCTGACTGTCTTTTTTCTCTGGCAATTGTGGGAAACTCAGGATTCGTTCGCTTCGACTAGGACTGGGAGTGAGGTTGGGTGGTAAAGAGAGCATTTGCTTTGGGAAGTATGTAGGCGGCCAACATCGGTTAAGATGACATGAGTGAAACGGTGGATGGTTTTTTTTTTCAAATTTGGGGGAGATTTGCGAAAGAGTGCATGCGTGGTAATAGTACTTGGTAACTGGACACCTGTCTTGTACGACTTGTATTGTTGGCGTGGCTTCGGAAGGGCGCAGGTAGCTTTTTTTTCTTCCTTCATCTGTCGAGTGGCTGGGGATGGCTGAGGGTCAGGTGAGATAAATGGATGTGGAAGATAGATAGATTGATACCTAGGTAGGCATCAATTCAAGTATTGATATTAAATTTTTATGACAGGTCGTTGAATGGAAAGATAGGAAGATTGTATGCTGTGAAATGTATTTAGAGGGGCGGGATTTTTATTTGGCAGGCTTAGTTGGTTTGCAACTTACTGTAGACAAGAGTGTGAATATGGATATGATTTTATGGATACATGGCATTGTGTGGCGGGCTGTGGTCTTGTTGTGCGGAATGAGGATGAGAGTTTTCTGGATTATGGTTTATGAATTATGGTTGCAATATTGGACAAAATTGAAGATAGGGCAGTTTAATGATTAGACAGTGGAAAGTTTAAGACTATAGAACGGGCCGAGAAGAGGGAAGTGAGGACTGAAAGGTGCGCAGGTTGCATGTATCGTGGTATATATGAATTTGAATTTGAGGCCTGGACAGGCATGGAGATGTGTTTCAAGTTTTTCTGAACTTTTGCTTGCTTTCGTCTCAGTCGCAAGCATCATATTTTAATGGTTTATCTTTTACTTGTCGACAGTGTTCTGGTTCGGTCATCAGATTTCCGGTTCTAAGTGATGATGTGTATGAAGTCTGTTGTCTTCACTCAGTTCCTCGCTTGTCTTGGTAAGGGAGGCGCGCATAGTTCTTGGACCAGGGCCTTTTCTAACATATAGACTTCTTGATGGTTTTCAGGAAAGTAGAAGAATCATACTTGTCAAGAAGAAAGGGGACGCGGGTTTCGAATGTAGTGTCCCCAATCCAGTTTTTGATTCGGGGGATATGTATAGTGATCTTGAGAGACCTTAAGGGGAGAGGGGATATTTCTTCTGAGGAATATACAGAGGATGGGGAAGAGATGCTAGAAAAGCTTAGTATGTAATGATTGGAAGCCAATGGCACCTTGCTCGATGATGAATAGGGCGCTGAAATGTAGGAATTTGTTGCACGTCTGTAAACCGAGAATACGAGGTGTATCCCAACATGACTTTGGAATAGTATCCTCCTAGTTCTCCTATGATGGAAGGAGTGACATTGATCTACTAGCTTGTACTCCTATCTTCCTACATACTGTCCAATGATAGTACCCTAAGATTTATGTTGCACGTCTGTAAATTGAAATTACCAGGTGTACCCCTCCTAGAGTTTGAGATAGTCTCCTAATTCTCTGGTGATGGGAAGATCTGGCGCTGATTTACTAGCTCATATTTTGACCCTCCCCTAGATATTCTCCAATCATGCTACCTAGAGATTTATGTTGCACATCTGTGATTTGGAATTGCAAGATATACCCCCAACAAGACTTTTGGATCTCCTCCTTCTTGTTTCCCCGCTGCAAACAAATGGCATTGATCTACTAGCTTGACTTCCAATCTTCCTGGATAATGTCCAATCATGCTACTTAGATATTTATGTTGCACGTCTGGATCTTCGTTTTACAAGAAGATCCTAACAAGCACGAGAATTAAGAGGGCTTTAGTATGATGTATATCTAGGAACCTGAAGCTATATCGATATCTGGTTCGACGAAGCTGCAAATGTTTGGAATGTTGCACATCGACAACCTGAGATTACAAGGGTGGCCCCAAGAATCTTTCAGATTGAAGAAATATCTATCGCTAGTTCTTTCCACCCCTCGGCAATTATCACCATTGCAGAGCATCCCGAAGACTATTGTAAACCTACCTTGAATACTCACTGTAAAGTCTTGCCGAGGGGCCTAAAGGTTAAATGTGAAACAAGCATCTGTGTACGGAGACGCCATGGAATTATAAGGTTATGACGGCATAGTAAGACCCAGATGAGTCAATCAGGCATACTAGGGTACACAATGAGGATCAAATATGGGTGATGTTGCACATCTGCATGTCCGTGTTTTTGAGGAAGATTCCGACGGACATAAGACTTAGGGTTCCCTTTACTAATAGTATATTTTAGAATGTAAAGCTATCTGAGTATCAGACGAGGTGATAAAGCAACGAGAATTTTTATTTCTATTTTATAGAAATGTTGCACATCTTATTCTTCCTATTATCCTAAAAAATGCCAAAACCCCCTATCAATCCAGTAGCTTGACGCTAGTAATGACGATCACGGTGTCCTTGGTTGCACATTCCTATCTTTACCTAGGTACTCCATGAAACCGAGTCGGAGGTCCGATATTGGCGGAGCGGAGTGGTGATCAACTTGGTAGTTAAAAACTATTGCATCGCTATACTTAGAACTGGAGCCTCCTAGACGATTTTTAGGATGTACCTTGTATGTTTCGAACCAGAAATGTTTACTGAAGACTGCAATACGATGTTACTCGGAACAAAGTTGATATTATATAATCATGGGTGAAAACTTGAGGATGGTCTCTTTCGTTGTTCAAGTTTATCGGAGTGCTGTTAGTCCCTCAAAGAACGCGACATTCATAAAAGCTAGATGAGATGACAAGTTGAAGATTAGGAGCTGGAGTTCATCGAATGTGTATCCTCGAGTACTACGATATGAATGTATATTTCAGAGTACCATGGTTTAGACTTCCGGATACAATTTTTTTCTTCAATCCTCATTGTCTACATAACAATATACCAAAATCTCCGCTAGGAATAAAGGAACACTTCTCTTATGGATATATTAGCAATAACCAAGCATTGGCAATACCGATAGTCCTCAACGGCCAACTACACGTCTTTGCATCCCCACAATTTCTGGGTAGTTCACGCTAGACTTTGAAGCAGACTTAAGCTAAGCGCGGGGTGGAATCAAGTATGTCAGCACGCCGCCATCATTGAAGAATGATATGAATATTGATGCACTTGGACAATCTCATCTATCTTGATAATCCGAGAAAAGAAAGAAAACCATGATCTGTTTATCAAAAATGACCGTTCACTTTGCCTCATCATCAACTTTATCTATTTGATCTTCCAAATTTTGGAATCATTTTATGGTATGAGTGCAAGCCAAGCCAAATCTTCCGCAGTCGGAATTCTCGGTTATGCAAGTCATGTGCAAGTCCAGACTCTAAATGATCCACTTGGGAATCAACTAACAGCAACTAACTAGGTATACTAGCCTCACTTGCTTGGAACTGACATCATTGATTGGGGATTGAGCTTTCCTTTATTGAGGCTCTGATTCCTCTTTATGACCCATAGAACAGTTGAGAGTATTCTTCATGATGATATTCATCAATTGTCCACATCATACTTTCCCCAAGATGAAAGATATATGAGCACTGGAAACCTTATAAAAAGTTCAATCAATTGCCACATGTCCAGAACTGAAGTCATCTAAAACCTACAAGAGATCACCAATCAACGGCGTGTGATTGAAGTGTACTGAACCCAAAGATAAGGTGCTAGATTTAACTTTAACGTAACCAAACTCGAAATAAGCTTTGTGTCTTGCCACTTTTGGTTTGGACTAGGCGATCATCATGGGGTAGCGTCAAGTCAGACTGTACTTTTTGATACGACTGAGGAAGTAGCTGATACTTGGGACCGTCAGAATAAACGCTATAAACTCCGACTGATATGGCGAACCAGCAGAATGAAGTATAAGAAGATCCATGGTCCCCTACTTGTGCGATTTCTCTTGAATTCTATAAGAAATTCTGAACAAATTGAAAAGTTGTAAATGGTATTCAAGCTCCAATATCTGGCTGAAACTTTCCAATAGATCTTTAAAGCACAATTCAGATTGTGACTAGCATCGCAGTTGCCATTTCGACCAGAATGTACATTCCAGGAGAGCCTGAACGTTCAGAGCTGGTGGTGGTTCAAGGAATGGTACAGTCAGTCTTCAGAATGATGACCACTATACTTGGACAAACGCCACATCAATATCCAGACAATAATATTCATACTCGTTCGGAGAAAATTACTTCAGATAGACAGTCTCAAGATAGCACTAAAACATGGATATTAGCCATACCGCTCGGCGTGATGGCTGTTGTCTTCCTTATTGTTTTTTGTTTAATCGCTATCAACAAAAGGCTCGAACAGACAAGAGATCACTATACCCAACGACCCTTATCACGAACATCGACAACACGATCGGGAAAATTACGAAATGATACTCGCGTTTTGTACCCAGTCTATTCCCATAGACCGAAACCGACAGGAGAAATGGGCGCTGCAAGAGCTGCATTGGGTGCTACGATTAATCCAGCTCCCAGAAGTTCACCAATCGAAGAAGAATGTACAACAGACAGTCCAAGAATTCCAAGCTACTACCGACCAACCGGTCAGATTGGGGCAGCAAGAGCGGCCCTTGGTGCGAGAGTTGAGCCAGAAGTTCGACAGGCAAGAACAAGTAACGACAGACCCATCCGATTTCAGGAAAGCTATGTTCCCACTGATAGTGGCAGTCGGGTCGTCTCACGTCCTGTTGAACAGTCAGATTCTGTATACACATTACGGCCTGGCGAAAGTCTTGCAGACATGATGCAAAGAGTAGATAGTGAGGTACACCGAGCAGTCTCAAGATATCCTATCTTCGCGAATAATCTACCTAGTCCCCCACCAGCTCGTCTTCGTCGACCCAG